GGGGGGGGGAGCATTTTGAGTAGAAACGTGCGGAAAAAAGAACCACACACGCGCAGACACACACACACGCACGCACGGACACACACACACACACAGAAGCGACGTACTTGGGGCCATTGCCGTGCTCCGAGCCAAGGTGTCTCGTGATCCTCACAAAGCCCGCACACTGCTCAAAACCTTTCTTGCCCAGGCCCTTGATGGTCAACAGCTGCTGGCGACTGGTGAAGTAGCCGTTCTTGGACCGCCACTCCAGAATCTTCTTGGCTTTGGTGGCGTTCAGTCCGGCCACTCTCCTTAGAAAAAATAAATGTTACCAGCATTATATATCAGATTTTGCTTTCTGAGCTTAGACCAGTTGATCAGCTTGTCAATGTTATGTGAACGACAACAGAGGAGCACAAAACAAGCTACAACACTGCACTTCTTAGTTTTTTTAGTAGACTGCATAAGGTCAAATGAGCGCCAGGGGGTGGATGTCAACAGAGAAGTCCAAACGAGGAATCAGGCTTACTCTGCTCACCTCTCTAGCCTCAACAGCACAAAGTCTGCTTCGAATATCAAGGCACCCCTGAAATAGCGGGTCACAAGAGTGTGACAAACATACAAAAGAAGTAGAGGAAAATGACGATAGTAAGGATTAGGTAAGAAAAAGCAGCAGTTCCCTGCATGCAGGCATGCAGTTCAGGAACAGTTATGAGCATGGCATTGGTGAATCAGCCCATTTACAATTCTACTGAGCATAAGAACATGTTAATATCCCAAAGACTCTTCAGTCAGTAGCACCGCCCAGGGGAGTTACTGTACACTTCCTTAAAGACAGGGAGGCATGAACCTTTATAAACCTGTCATGTTATGTACGTGAGCTGAGAAGTGAGAAAACACACACTACACATGTTCTCACCTGAGAAAACACACACTACACTGTGTCTCACCTGAGAAAACACACACTACACTGTGTCTCACCTGAGAAAACACACACTACACATGTTCTCACCTGAGAAGGCACTCGCTACACGTGTTCAGGTCAACGCCCACAAAACTGACGCACTCTTCCACCACTGATCCCAAGGCAGTCTGCAGGCTTGTCTTGTTCAGGTCATGCTAGGATAAAAAACATCACGTTATCACTATCCAACGATACACATAAATCTATTTAGTTTTTTAAGTTTTAGTAAGAGTTTTACGGCACTTGCAACACAATAATATCATAGAAGTGCCGAAGATTAGAGGTGTTACAAGAGAGTAACAAATACACACAAAAAAAGGAGAGATCAGGACGATAGATGTTTGATAGGAAAGAAGGAGTAAATCTATGGACAACCAACATATCCTTCATATTGCATTCCAAGATACACGTAAATCTATGGACAGCCAACAAATCCTTGATATTGTATCCCAAGATACACGTAAATCTATGGACAATTAAAACAAATCCTTGATATTGTATCCCAAGATACACGTAAATCTATGGACAATCAACAAATCCTTGATATTGTTTCCCAAGATACACGTAAATCTATGGACAATTAAAACAAATCCTTGATCTTGTATCCCAAGATACATGTAAATCTATGGACAGCCAACAAATCCTTGATCTTGAGAGAGACACAAAAAGCAAATTGATGGCAGGGTGCAAGGCTCCGACAAAAGCAACATTGCACAATGACGTTTGTCAGAGTCTTAGATCCAGCCATAGATTTTAATGTCACAGTACAAGACTTGTAGTGTATTTCTGTGGATAATCTTGAACAAATGAGAGGCAACGTGGTGGAATCAGGCTCTCCTCAAAATAATCAAAGTGAAGAAAGTTGCATTTTTCTGCCGGTTTGTGAATTTTTATCAAATTTTTCTTTTTTGGCTCCACACCTTTCATGCCCATTAAAGAACTCATTTCAGTGTGGATTTTTCTGAAAAACGTTGATTAAAGGCACAAAAAAAATGTAAATTTTCAGTTACCACGGACTCTTAAGCTAAGGAAATGACAAATCTTTGGCGGCCATTTTCTGACTAATTTTACCTCTGAAAACAGGTGACCCCCACCTCCTTCTTTCGCAAATATCTCGACTTGTATTCAAGATAAATAGATATTTTTTTCATCCAAATAAAGACAATTGAACAAGCTTTAAGATCATACTAATAACTCTACATGCCCAAAAATTGACGAGAGCCTAATTCCACAACGCTGCCTCACAAATGGTCAATAGAGCAGAGGAGAAAGTGGCATCAACTTATGAAACAACATTTTAAAGGATAGAAAACACTATTTAGTATAACTAGGACTAATCAGAACTTTCCAGAGGAGGAAACTTTATCCAATTTGTAAAGCAGCCCAATCTCATAGATAGAATCGCCAGATGTATCAATGATATAAAAAAATGGATGTTCAAGAACAAATTAAAATTAAATGAGGATAAGACCGAAATATTATTTCTTCGTAGCAGTGCATGCAATGAAATTGACAATATCAGAATAAACATCAATGGCCACGAAATATCAGCCCAAACTAAAATAAGAAATTTAGGTGTGGTGCTAGATCAAGAAATGTCAATGAAATACCATGTATCCAATCTTTGTAAAAATCTATATCTCCAGCTGAAGAAAATAGGGAGCATTAGAAAATATCTATCTGTTGGTGTCACCAAAACTTTAATAACATCACTTATATTGTCAAGGATTGATTATTGCAATTCCTTACTGGCTGGTGTACCTGATGAACAGTTACAACAACTACAAAGAGTACAAAATATTGCTGCCAAAATAATTACTAAAAAACTAAAGCATGATCATGTGACTCCTATTTTAAAAGCATTACACTGGCTCCCAGTGAAAGAGCGTATCATATATAAAATCTGTTTAACTTGCTACAAGTGCTTAAATGATTTATCACCGGACTATCTAAAACAGCTTTTAACACCCTATGTGCCTCCTAGAACGCTCAGATCATCTAGTGACAAAACAACCCTTGTTAAGCCTAAAATAAATTTCAAATCATATGGCCAACGCTCTTTTTCATATTTTGCCCCACTTTTTTGGAATAGGCTTCCAAAAACTATCAGAGAAGCAGAAAATCTAGAAATTTTTAAGAAGAAACTAAAATCATTTCTATTTTCATCATATTTCGATTAGACAGAATGCATCCAAGCTGTAGATCGTTGTGAGTTTGTATATGCGTATGTGCATATGTATGTATGTATGTATGTGAGTATGTATATGTGTGTGGTGCGTGCGTGAGTGAATATGTGTTTGCATGAGTATGTAACACTATGTATCTTTAAAATTGATTTGTAAATCCATTATATGTATCATGTTAAGCGCATAGAGCATTGCATAAGTGGATATGCGCTATATAAATGCAATCCATTATTTTATTATTATTTGTTATGGTCCCATTTTGGACAAAACCATACAAGGCATGTTGGTATCTTTAAAAACATGTGCTTGGCATGTAACTGTGACTTCACGTATACTGCAGGCGTGCCAACTTTTACAAGCCCCAATCAGGGACATCCATTGTTATAACATCAGGTTAGGAAACAACGAAACAAAATTACATCAGGTGGGACTGGCTTTTGGTGTAAGGTATGGTATGTCTTCTCAAATTTTTGACTGCCCCGTGAAATTCAGGACAGTTGGCAAGCCTGATATTGTAAGAGTCTGTACCTGACAGATGACAGATAACAACTCAGCAGAAATTGTACCTGGTACATGCCCACTCCCAGGTTTTTGGGATCAATCTTCACCAGTTCTGCCAGGGGATCCTGCAACCTCCTTCCAATGGACACTGGAACAAAATGGTAGGACAATGAGAGAATCTCAAACAAAGTTGACATAGGAGAACAGATTGATACACTCATCTGAGGCGAATTCATACCTACTGCAATTAGATTTAAAAAAAAAAAAAATACTAGAGGGTTTTACGGCGCTCGCAACTGCATAAGGTCATATGAGCACCAAAGGGTGGGTGTCAACAGAGAAGTCTTTACAGGGAATCAGACTTAAACTGCTCACCTCTCTAGCTTCAACAGCACAAGGTCTGCTTCGACTATCAAGGCACCCCTAAATAGCAGGTCACACGGGAGTGACAAACATACAAAAGAAGTAGAGGAAAATGACAATAGTAAGGATTGGGAAAGAAAAAGCAGCAGTTCCCTGATGTAGATCTGGCAGTTATGAGCGTGACATGAGTCAGCCCATTAACAATTCTACTTTGCTTGAACGAGATATGTCCCCCCTTTGGGAATGGCCTAAAGACACTACAGTCAGTGGCACTGCCCCGGGAGGTAAACTATACTTTGAAAAATTTTTTCTTGACTCAAACAGAAAAGACAAGCTTACATTTTCAGTCAAACATCCACATGGAAGAAAAAATCCAACTGATCACCGCATTTACCTGCCTGTAACACAATCTAGTGTGTGGTGTACGGGGTACGGTACCCTTTCACTCCAAAATAGGCCTCACCTTTACACAAAAAGACATCTCAATGGTTCGTATCATTTTCAAAATAAACTTTGTCCTACTCTCACTGACGTGTGTACACACAAACCTGCTCCCCGAAGTGTTGGGTCCAGGTCCGGCATCTCCTTCACGGCCTCGTCCGACACACTGTAGATGGACGCCCCACACTCGTCCACGATACTGAAAGACAGAACGGCAGCTTTTAAAGTTTATTTTTAGCAAGGTTTTACGGCGCTCAAAACTGCATTAGGTCATATGAGTGCCAAAGGGTGGATGTCAACAGAGAAGTCCTTACAGGGAATCAGGCTTACTCTGCTCACCTTTCTAGCCTCAACAGCACAAAGTTTCTTTCAACTATCAAAGCACCCCGGAAATAGCGGGTCACAAGAGTGTGACAAAAATACAAAAGAAATAGAGGAAAATGACGATAATAAGGATTAGGAAAGAAAAAGTAGCAGTTCCCTGTTGCAGTTCAGGCACAGTTATGAGCATGACATTGATGAATCAGCCCATCTACAATTCTACTGTGCATAAGAACAACTAAATATCCCCCCTTTGGGAATGACCTAAAGACACTTCAGTCAGTGACACTGCCCGGG